CAAATATAATTCTTATGACTGTACGAAAAATGTAATCACAAAAATAACGAGTTAATTATAAAGCAAACATATTGTTGGCAGCAATATTGACGCTAAATCTTTTCAATTTGTAAATGTGTTTTTATTCATTTTTGTCCCTCTATAACCAGTGGAATGTTCTCTCTTTGTTTCGTGAATAATCTCTTTTTCCTTTCCTTTCAATAAATTCTGCAAATGCTTCCTTTATCTATTTGCCAAGGTTGCATTGGAATTGTTTTGCTCTAACTTTCACTTTTGAACATGATAATAACACTGTACCCTCACACTTCTACAAAGTATATATTATATATTTATTTCCTTAATATATGCAAGATTTGATGAGTACTCGCTTCCTTTTCATCTCGTGTTTTCATTCTGTTCATACGACCGTACTGTCCGTAATAATATAAGTAGAATATAATATATGACACTTTTCTCTGTATATACTGTACTCGTGGGTGCTGCAATTTGCAACTTTCTTAAGTTTTCAATTCATATTATTTACCTAAAAGACTTTGCAAGCTTTATGGTAAGAAAATAAATGGTCAGAAAACATTACCAAATGAACAATACCGCTGTTCCTTATTAATATGTAATATGTTGTATAATGAAGATTCAATAATTATAGTTCTTGAAATCGAACCGTAATGACACTATAATTTGTAAATAAAGACTTGCTGTCCATACTTAGGCAAATAATCTTCGCTTTACTGCCATTTAGAAACTATGAATAGTGAAATAGTATTTTGCTTCCTCCGTAAGTCAATTGTAAGAATTTTCGTATTTCTTTCAGTCTTATAAGCAATAAATCTTCTTCTCATAGAAAGCTGTTCATTTAAACTTGTTTTTAAATGGCTTATCCTCTTTTAATTACCTTCAATCCTATATCATTAATTCATATCCTCTGTACATTTGTAGCATTTAGTTAACATATTTTGTAAAATTTGTTACAAATAAGTCGTAAGATACTCAAAAAGAAAAATAACATTTCCATAGGAAGGAAATACTGCACAACTAATCCGTGATATCATGTCCAAAAAATGTCTCTGACCAAAGTGGATATTACTTCGCTAAACCTTACTTCCATTAAGGTTCATTACCTAAATGACTTTGTATATGGAAGCAGGATTTTTTTTTTTACACTTTACTTAGACAGACCTCTTTTAATTGGAGTGAATCTTCATACTGATTGTTTAATACGAAAAGCCATCTAATTTAAAAGGTATAATTTGTTAGAGCAATGACTGCGCCAATGGGAGATCCTGTACTTGCAAACTGAACATATGAGAAGGTACAATATTAATCTAATTATGCACTGTAGTCGATGCATGTTGAAGTCTTTCTAATTCTTCCAACGATAACACATTTGTCTGGACAAGCTCTGGTAGCTTACCAGCCCGAGCTTGAGCAAGCAGTTCCGGACTAAACCATCGTGCCAATTGATTCGAGGTTGGTGAAAGATCTCCGCCATTGCTACCCACATATCCTAAACCTGGAGATGTTTGACGACCTACGGGTATGTTCAACTGTTGCGATCGCATTACTCGCCCATCTGTGAAAAATATTTATCAAGTTCATTTATCGAATTCATTTCACTGTAACATTTTAGTATACCACATTTTATTTGTTTTTGCAGTAAGTAAAATTTGTTTAAATCGTGAAATTATTAAGGATAAGAATAAATGGTAGTATAAAATAAATGTTGATTCATTACTTTAAGTTCAATCCAAAGATAAATTCTGTCTAAATTGGTTTAAATAAGGGGAACAGTTAAAATATGAGATCTAATTATTCCAATTTCTGAACACCGTTGCATGCAATTTGATTAGGCAAGAGGTAGACATCTGAAAATATTTTAGAATAATAAAATTACCGCTACAGTGTATTTTCCTACGTACAATTAAAATAGTAAAAAATCTATTTGAATAAAATAATTTAATTTTGAAATGGGAAAACCTAAATAAAATTAAAAAAAAATTATGTTAGTAAATTGTGCAACAATATTAATTAAAATTCGAAAAATAATATTACCTGCGCGACTGGAGTTGTAATTTTGATTTAAGACCATTTGAATCTGTGAATTAAGAGACCGTTGTTGTTGCTGTTGTTGCGGTGGTTGGTGTTGCATATTGGCCAGGTGCGATGGAGCCTGCTGTACTTTCATTTGATTATTCATAACATTTGACCTCTGATTAATCATTGAGTTCTGAGCAACATTGTATTGTGGAACATTGTGATGTGGTATTGAACTAGTCATGGTATGTTTGGAACGTGCAGGATTACCGTACACGCCCGTAACCGATCTATGTTGTTGTTGTTGTTGTTGTTGTTGCTGCTGTTGTTGTTGGTAATCCGTGTTTCCACCGTGTTGGAATTGGTTACCACCGTTACCACCACCACCACCTTTAACTATCGGTCGACCTACGATAATCGAAATAAATAATAAACTTTAAATATTGATTCTAACAATCTTGGTGTATCTAAAGGATAAGGTGCACAGCAATAAATTCAAGCGCGCTTTACTACATGATTTATGATATTTAACATACCCGGGTGTTGTTTAATAGTTGGATTCGGCCACGTAGACTGAACAGATTGTGGTCGTAACGTATTATGCCGCGAAAAAACTCCTTGGGACAGTAATTGAACTGTAGATTGCATTTGTGGCATTTGCGGCGCCTGAGATTGAGCTGCCAACTTCGATGGATCATTACTATTGCCTATATAAAAGTAAAGATACAGTTAGACAAAAATATGAACTGCTTGACCTCCTATTTCTTTATTATATACTATAAATACATACACAAACTAATAAAAAAAAAAACTTAGTTCTCGTATAAGGTATATGATGTATTTGAATTTAATACATAATAAAACATTTCATTAGAAACATATTTTATGAAGCTAAAGATACAACAATATTTTATTCTCTAGTTTTATGAACAAATAGAATGAAACGATAATTAAAGATTAAATGAAGATAAGAAATATTTGTATTCTTCATTTCATTCAATTTGAGCGTTCAATTAAAAAAAAAACATTTATGTATTTAATAATTGTATATTATACTGTTATTCAACTCTTAGTACATGCAATTCCCTTGCCCAATATCTGAAGTCATAAAAGCCTTAAAAACTCAAGCACATGCATTAAAGTACAAATCATTTCAAAAGCATTCCACTGAAGGAAAATGAAAGTGTAAAGGAAAACTTAAAGCATGAAATGTATTTATAAAGCGTTTTATTTTAAAGACTATTCCAACATACTTTACTCTTGCAATATGTTCGTGTCTACTGATCTATGTAGAAAATGTAATTTATAATATTAATTTCCAATAGGATTACTATTTTGTATTCAAAATTAAAAAGGACTCATTTCCATGTACAATTTGCAACATTGCAGATAAATCAGCTTTCAAAAACACATTAAAGGTGTTAAGCAAACAAGAAACGAAAGAAAACAAAATTATCATTCCTCATTTTAATACAAAAATAAAAAAACAACATTACATCGGATAATAGTCACAAATTTATGATTTTATTTTTCTTTATCTTTTTTTATATATAAAGTTCATGAAATGAATATTTTAAACAACAACATCATTCTGTGAATTTAATATCTTGTTTTCCTCTGTTTTTCCTAATGTGTTGTTATTGTCGACTATTATTGTTCCGATCTCAAAGTGTTCTGTTAATAATTTGTTAAGAATAAGAGGAGTATTATTATTATTAGTATCACTTAGATCCATTAAACCTGATTCTCTACCAGGAGTATTCATATTTAACGATTCTTTAGTCTCATGAGTATTTCTCTGTTCCTCTGTCGTGTTCAAACTCGAATTATTATTCGTATCTTTTTGCTGCTGCAAAGAAGAATATTTGTCTTTTAACGCGGACTCCTCTACCTCTACGTTATTGCCATTATTGTTCAACTTGTATAAATTCTCGGAAGCAGCACTGCTGAACATATTACCAAGCTTTTTAAGATTATAATTAGTAAGCTGAATTGCATTATCGTAAGAAGCGGATTGTTGCGTGTCAGCATTATTTTTCTTTGAATCAAATGCGTTATGATACTTGTTATTACGTTTTTCATTAATCGGGGGAGAAAATAAGAAGTTCAATTCTAATTGATGATTAGACTGATTCGCACCCTCAGGTTCCTTATCGGCAGTCATTTTACGCAACACTGATGTCGGTGTAAAAGCAAGAGGCGTTGGGCTCATGGTCTGCTTCGCCGGTGAGTTAACAGGGCTCGATGCTCTTTGTTGAGCTTGTTGTTGTTGTTGCTGCTGTTGTTGTTGCTGTTGGTCCTGTCGCTTACGGAAGTTTTCACGTTGTTCCTCCAACGTTTTCTTAATTAAAGCACTTTGGATTGCAGACTGAGCATGCATAACAATCTCCCGTGGTGAAGGAACTCTATGCTGCATCACTGTTAAAATAATAGAAATTCAAGCAAATTTTAAACCGGGTAAATCATTATCGCGACAATTTTATCAGATCTTCCTTAAAGAATTTTTTTGAAAAGCAAAAGTAGCAACATATAATTATTAAAATATTTATCCACTCTTATCTCACACTTTTATATTGCCGGGTTACACACAGCACCTAACTTTATTTATACAGTAGCAGAATAAAGCCGCAAATTAAAAGAACTGTTTATTATCTTTGATATTCTACCTGGATGCTGTACTGTTAAAGTACTGGGACTAGCAGTCAAATTTGAAGATATTGTTGAAGGTGGACAATAAGCTGCATTCCAAACATCACGATAT